ACAAAGGATTGGAGTCCATTAACTAAGAGTAGGAGGTTTGGAATAGGAGGATCTGAGGTTTGATAGAGGCCTAGGGCAGAGGATGGCACAAATCTGTGGTCTGGAGAAGACTTATTCAGAAGAATTCCTTAAAAGTGTGGTCCTGGTACTACCTAATGAGAATCCCCTAGCGTGCCTGTTAAAAATGCAGATTCTAGGGCTCCATCCCACTACTGAAACAGAATGTTGTGGGGTGGAGGGGTGGGTGGGTCCGTGAAGCTCCATTTTAATTAACTCCCAAGGTGAATCTTATGAACAGAGGGACAGGGAAGGTAATTTCTGTGTCTGTTTACTACCTTTCAAATGAACATAGTGCTCTCTCTCTCTGCCAGGGCTGTTTTGAGAATTAAACGAGATAAATGTGAACGTGCTTTGAAAATATTAACGTGATTGAAAGGTAGGGCCACGGAGTCTGAAATCGGGCAGGGTCGGCAGAATAGGGCAAAGAATGGAAAGGAGACTGTGTGACGGGGTCTCTGGATTGAGGGTAAACTGGGAAGGGAGAATCCCTGTCACCTGCGGGGTCCGGTGCAGCTCATACAGACTCAGTTCCCACGTTTTGCTGGCATTCTGGGCATTAGCCGGCGTCGTCATAGTGACCGGGCACAGACCCCCCACCAGGACTCCGCAGCCGAGGAGGAGAGGAAGGCTGGGGAGGGGGGAACGGGAGGAGGGTGTTAGGGGGGCCGCCCCTTCCGTAGACCCCGCCCCTCCAGGGGCTCCCCTCGCCGCCCCCGCTCCGCGCCGGCGCGGCCCTCACCTGGCTCGGGGGTCCGCGCTCCCGCTGCCGCCGCGCCTCTCCCTAGGCCCGGGCTCTTAGGCCGAGTTCGCTCGCTCCGCAGCCGCTGCTCAAACAGCAGCTCCCGCCGCCGCCGCCGCCGCCATGGCCCGGGCGCTGGGACCCTACGTCACTTCCGCCTGTGCCTCCACTCCACCCCCCTCCCCGCCGCCGGCGGGGACGTCACCCGCCACTCGCGGCGCGGGTGGGACATGAAGTGGACGCCGGGGTTCCCCCGCCCACGAGATGCGCCTGCCCCGCAAAGGAGCCGGAGTCCCGGGAGTCTCGCGCCACATGGAGACCACGGTCCGCGCCCCCGCCCAGCACCGCCGCGAGGCAAACAACCTTGGCCACCGTTCCCTTTCCGATGCCCCCACCCGGGGCCTCAGCTCTGGAGGCGGGGCCTGGGATCGCTCGGACTCCAGTTGAGGACGGAGGGCTCGGGAAAGGGGCCACCTCCCCCCCTCCGCATCCCCTGCCGCCCTGGGGACCACCCCCTTTCCCCCCCCGCCGCCACACACACAACTTCTCCGTAACCCCTCAGCCCGGGATCCTGGGGAAAAAAAATTGTAAAAGATCCTCTGCTGCTTTAGCCCTCCAGTCCTGTGAACGCAACTAGGTCCCGACGTGCTCGGGATACCCCTTAGCACCCTGGAGACTTGCTCCACCCTAGACTCTCCGACCCGCTCTCCCCGTCGAGGTTTGGGGGCGGCGGCTCGGGACGTCCAGACTCAACTCTCGGCCGGAGCCATAGACTCGAGAATTGCGTTTGGACAATCAGGAGCCGCGGCCCGGGGCGGGGGAGGGAGGCTCACGGGAGGAACGGGGGAATGGAGACACCACGCGGAAGCAGGGACACACACACACACAAGATGGGGATCCCGTTGGGGAGGGGGTATGTGCGTGTGGGTGGGAGACACAAGGGGCGGAATGTCTGGAGTGGGAAGTGGGCAGAAGCCTCTTCCAGAACTCCTGAGTAAAGGAAGGGGACGGGGAAGAAAAAGGGGAAGGGACAGAGCGATCCCCACTGAGGGCAGGGAATGAGAGGGATGCGGGGGGAAAAAGAGACCGTGATGGGCGTTCTGTCCCCTCCAGAGTGGGCTGGGGTTCCCGGACTTGGGCTACGGCTGCCAGGGGGTGGCCTGTCTCTGGGATAAGGCAGCAGTGGGTCCCTTCGCCCCCCATCCCAGTTCCCCCCTACTTCCCTGTCCTCTCCTTCAGTCCGTGGCCAGTCCTTATGTGGGCGCCAGAGTCGATTAGCGCGGACCCCCTCCCCTTTCTCCTCCTCCTCCCAGCCCCCTCCCTTATGCTCTCCTCCAGCCCCTTTCATCGACTGGCCCATTCCCCTAATCCTGGCCCCCTCCCCTAATCCCCCCATCCGACCCCAGGCCGGCTGCAGCTATTGTAAGGTGGAAAGAAAGGGGAGGGGGGGACTAAGAGAAAGGAGAGGGGTGGGGGAGGGCCACCTGTTCCAAGACCCCCTCCCAAAGCCAGACTGGATACCACGATAGGGCCATGAACAGATCACTCTTGGGGACCATAAGGACCCAGGGAATTGGGGGGAGGGGGCTGGCAGTGAAGAACCAGTGGGAGGGGGTGGGGCAGAAACCCCTCCCTCCAAAAAGATCCAGAGTGTCACGCATACACAGTGACAGACACTCTTTCCTCTCACACCCGGCGGCGGGGGTTGCCCTGGGAGACCAGGCAGTGAAAGGGAACAATCCTTAGGGAAAGGGAAAGGAGGGGGTGGTGGGGAAGGGTCTGAGGGCTTGGACACAAGAAGAACCGGAGGTGGCAGAGAAGAGGATTTGGAATTTATTAGGGTCACAACACCCCTGCCTCCCATATTCAGCATTCCTGAGCCATACACTGCCACCCCTTTTGTAGCCTGGGAACTTAGAGTCCTCATCAGCAGGAGGCCAGGCAGAGTGGTGGGGGAGTAAGCAGAGTCCAGGGTCCTTGAGGCAGTTACATGAAAAGACCTCCTGGGAGGGGCAGAAACATTTGGACAGATGTATGGGTGGAGAGACAAATGGGCTGGAGGGTGCCCACTTCTGTTCCTGGCCTCAGGAATCTCTGCCCTTCCCACAGTGGCTCCAGGCTCCCCTCACTTTCTCATGTAGTCTGGGTTCCACTTCTCTGCCCTTTCCCTTCCCATGCTGGCTTCATACCAGTGACTTCCACCGAGGCCCCTGTGATGTATCTGCTGTCTTCAGATGCCAAGAATGCAACCACATCTGCCACATCTACGGGAATGGTGGGGAGAGGGCAGAATCCCACTCACTCCCATAGACCTGAAGTAGCTATCATCACCCACCAAGAACATTCCCTCCCCCAAACACACACACCAACCACCAATCATGGTAAAACCCTCTCAAAAATACCACACATCTTGAGATCTCGTCTTTCAGGCCCCCTCTCCAGGACCTTCCTCCCTGCTTAGTGCTCACCCTCAGGGTCCCCCCAGTGTCCCATCGGGATCATGCTGGTCACCTGTAAGGAAACATTTATTTGTGGGTGAAAGTTTCTTTTATGTTTTTTTTAAAAGACTGAGTCTGTGACCCTTTTTTTTCTTTGTCTTCATCCCTCATACATTTATTGAATCCCTACTGTTTGCCAGGTTTTGTGCCCAGCATTCTCTCTCTCTCTCTGAAGCCCAGAGAGGTTGGGACTCAATGATTCTGCCCTCCTCCCACAGCCCCCTACCTTGTCTATCACTTTCTGTGGCATTTTCTGTGTCATGGGTGTTGCAATGAACCCTGGCAGGACAGAGTTACAGCGGATCCCATGTCTGTGGGAGAGAGGCTGTTGATTCTGGAGAGGACTAAACACTGACCCCTCCCTCAGACCCCCACATGCCTCAGCAAAGCCCCCCAGCACTCCCAGGTATCTGACTAACCGTCCAAGCTCCCGGGCGACAGTCTGGGTCAGCCCAATCACTCCAGCCTTGGATGCAGCATAGTTTGTCTGCCCAGTGTTCCCCACCTATAGGTGAGGTCAGAGATCTGTGATGAGTCAGGAATCCCAAGGAGGGGATCTCCTCTCTGTGCCCACTTGGCTAGCTGATCTCGTCCCAACTCATCCTGACCTTTCCTATGATGCTACTGATGTTGATGATGGAGCCATGACAACCAGTGGACACCAGGGCTTGGGCTGCAGCTTGAGTGACTAGGAAGATGCCCTGGCAGAAGATGGTAACAAGGCAGAAAAGATCAGCTGGGTGACAGCTCTCCTCCAATTCCCTCCCCAGGCTAGGGGGTCCAGAAGTCAAAGGTTCAGATGTCACCACCTTGAGGTTGACAGCTATGACTTTGTCCCAGTCATCCTCAGACATGTGGAGCAGAAACTCATCTCGGGTGATGCCCGCACAGGACACAACGACAGATGGTGGGCGAGAAAAGCAGGCCTATGGGGAGGGGAAGGTTACACAGCAAAAAAACAAAGAGCCGGGGACACTGGGGCAATGTTGAAGCTTTAAAGGGGGCGAGGTCGCCTGGCATTCACCTGCACTTGTTCCAGCAGGCGCCTGGTGGCCCTAGCCTCAGACACATCAGCCTGGAAGGCAGCGTGGCTCCCGCGGGGCGCCCCCTCCTTGCTCCCCGGCCCGCCCAGCAGCCGCACCGTCTCCCGTGCCGCTGCTCCGTCCAGGTCACAGGCGGCCACAGCGGCCCCCTCTTTGGCTAGGCGCACACTGACCGCCCGGCCGATGCCACTACCCGCACCTGAGGTGGGAGAGAACACCGGAGGTGGGGGGGAGTGTAGGCGGGAGTCAGAGGTCATAGGACGCAAAGTTAGTAAAATCCGGCCAAGGGACCAGGGGGTCACAACGGCCGCGGAGTCCGAAGGCGCGCATGCCCCCTGACATCGCTCTGGCACCCTCACCCACCCTGGGAGAGCAGCCCCTCAACCTGTGACCAGGGCCAGCGCGGAGCGGAGCCTGAGCGGAGACGCCATGGCGGGTTGCGGGAAGGCGGGCACCTCAGCACCGAGCCAATCCGAGTGCAGAGGGGGCGTGGCGATGGAAAAGACGGGGCCAATCGAAGCCCCGCCAGCTTTAGGCCATCTGCGGCCACCAGGACGGGCCGACCTCCCACAGAGGGGACGTGGCCAGACACCACAGTTTGGGGGCCTGGGGATTGGGGTAGACAAGGAGCCCCATGCCCTAAAAAAGACAAAGACTGCATGTGGGGCGGAAGATCCGAGGGCTTTATTTCCGGCCACCACCCCTCCCCCTCAATTTAAACACAGTGATATAAAAAGAATAGAAACAAAAAAAATCAGGCCATGAGATCACCAGCTAACCCTCTCCCACCCTCCCATCCCCCAATCACTCCCAAATCAGGACACACGATTGATGTTTAAGTGATGTTTATCCCGGCTCCTCCTGTGACCTCCTCTGTCCAGAGCTCTGGTCTTCCCTGAAGCCTCCACCAACTCGTGGGAGAGATAGGTGTACTTTGGAGAACCTGTGTGTGACAGCTTGGTCCTCTGAGAACAGGTGGAGTAGGGAACACTAGGTAGACTATCACCCCTCTCCCTTCCAGCTTTCTTCATGGCCCCACCCATTTAGTCCTCCAAACCCAACAACATGGTCAGGTGGTGCCCAACACTATGGTACCTCTGGCCTCTCATTCTCACCTCTACAACCCCTGTAAGACTGCCACACTTGAAGGCCTTAATGCCAAAGTCACCATTCTCCTGGGCTACAACTCCTTCCTTTGGCAGATGTCCTTGGCTAGGGCCCCCAACCTCTATAGACCCCTGATCTGGAGCTAGGGGTAGAGGTTTGGGGCAGAGGTTGGGGCAATTTATCCCACCTCTCACTCGAAGTGGGCAATCAGCACCATCATGGCAACTCCCCCCAGCAGCCCCAGCACCTCCAGAAGTGACTGCAATGGTGATGCCTCCCTCAACAGCTCAGGCAACACGGACACTGTTGCTACATAGATAAAACCACCTGCAGTGAATGGCAGAACCCAACCAGGACCTGCACCACTTGCAACTTCACTTCCCACTGCCCCTCCTTCAGTTAGAAGGGCACAGGCTGTGCCTGCCAGTGCCCCTACCGCTGTCAGCAGTTGTAGGCGCATCGCCTGGTGGGCAGAAAAGAGAGAGAAGCACTCATCAACAGCTAAAGTTTACCAGTGGTTTAGACATGGCTGGTGGAGTACAGGGTGTATAGGTACATAGATATAGGGTGCATGTCTCTGGAAACTAAAAAGCAAGGTTGGGGGGGAGTAGAATAGACATTTTTTGAAAAATCTTAGAGATCGAAGAGGTCCTTTCTGTGGTACTTCTGATTCAGTAGGTCAGGTGTGTGTGTAAAAAAGATCCCCATAAGCTATTCAGATGGTTTACAGACTACAGTTCAAGACATACTAAGCTACAATACAGGACAACCCACCCCCCAAACAGAACTTCTTCCTCCTCATTTCTACAGGACTTGTTAATGATAGCATGACTTGTTTGGAACTAATGAGAGGCTATCTTGGGTTTGGGGTAAATAAGCAAGGATAAAGGGTTTGAGGAAACCATGTCTGGTGGACATCATAACCAACCTGTTTTTTGCTGTAGCCAGACTGTACCAAGATGGCAAAGTCCCCAACCTCATGGGGCACTTCATGTAGCAGGACAGTCATTGTGGTTAGGATCCCAAGCCCCCGGCCCCCTCGAAAGGAAGCACCAATGGCCAAGCCATCTGTGAAGTTGTGTGCCAAGTCAGCAGCCAGATTCAGGTACCCGGACACACGCAGGTCTTGTACGAGAGAAAAAGACAAAATGATCAGAGGCATCCATTACCCCCAGCCCCAATCAGACACTCTCACATCTCCCCTCAGAGACCACTTCACACCCAGCCTCTTAGTGTTTCCCAGACACCTGCCATTACCCCCAGAACATATTCCATATCATTCAAGATGATGCCCCTTGCCCTAGCTTATCACCAACCCTGGCCCTTACCTGAACCTGTTTTTTCTTCTTCAACGTTCTGAGGTCTCACTGGCCCATCTTTCGGTCCTATGCTCCCTTCTTTTCTCTTCCGCAACCCCTCTGTTTCCTTTTCTTCTTTCTCTGAGCTCTGTTTCTCCTTTGAAGGATGCTCTGAAGGAAGAAAAGAGTTAGAGTGGAAAACGGAGATCTTCCGACATGTCCTCAAATGGAAGTGTCCCCCCACCCCCTGAGAGCCATAAGATGAGGGGATTCTGAGGCAGGCAAGGTAGCTTTCAGGTGAGTTGTTCCTGGGCTCACCCTGTTTTCCAGGTCCATGACTTCCATGTGTGTGACCGTGAGCATGTCCATGTCCATGTCCTCCTTTCACATGTCTCACAAATTTCTCCACCACAAGAAAGGCAACAATTCCACTGAGAACCCACAGTCCCACAGACAGAATGGGGCCCTGGCCTGGGAATGGAGGCATTGAGACATTAAGGGAGATGTGGATTCCAGACTCCTCCTCCTCAAGTGCAGGAGGTGAAGAATTCAGAGAGACAGACCTTCCCAGTACCCCAACCCCTCTCCCCATTCGTTTTTTTCCTCACCACTGTGGGAGTGTCCATGTCCAGGCTGCTCTAGAGTATGGTGAGAATGAGGTTCTGAAGAAAGGAGGGAAAAAAATCCAGATGAGGGAATACATGACCCAAGGGGTGTGTATTTGGGGGAATATTGGAAGGTCAGGGATCAGAAAGGAAAAAGAATCTTTTTCCCCAAAGAATAAAATAGGTTAAGATTTGAGGTAGAAGGGCTGGCCCATGGTTCACTTGGTGGGGTGCTGATAACACCAAGGCCATGGGTTTGGATCCTATATAGGGATGGCCGGTTACCTCACTTGGGAGAGCGTGGTGCTGACAACACCAAGTCAAGGGTTAAGATCCCCTTACCGGTCATTAAAAAAAAAAAAAGACTTGAGGTAGAAGTCAGAAGTTACTTACCCAGGGCATGAGGAATGAGGTGCAGGAAGGCATCTCCCAGGAGCCCGCCTGAAGCAAAACTTAGCAAGATCTGGAGCAGAGAGCGATGCCGGGGGGAGTTTGACTCCACGGGGATAAGGAAGAGGATGAAAAATGGAGCGGCAGAGATCAGCACTGTGGCCCCCAGTGCCTAGTGAGAGAGAGTCAGGGGTCAAGTGGTGTGGTGTTTCCCAACAATCCAGAACCAGTCCCTCTCTCCCTCATCCCCTGAGGGACTCACATAGGCCCAGAGAGTGACAGTATCCAGGTCCTGCGTGATGCCTCGAGCCCCAGACTCCCCATAGCCTTCATGGCTATGCTCATGGTCATGTCCGTGTCCTCTGTGGTAGAGGCTCTCACGAGAGTGGCCATGGCCATGGCCATGGTGCAAATCCTCATGTGAATGTCCATGGTCGTGACCGTGGGTATGCCCATGCCAGATGCTCTCGTGAGTGTGACCATGCCCATGGGCATGGCTGTGTCCATGGTGTAAATCCTCATGTGAGTGCCTGTGACTGTGGCCACGGAAGTCCTCCTCTTGCTGGTCCTCGTGCGTGTCGCCATGACCCCCGTGTCCGGCCACCAGCAGCCCCAAGGCCGCCCAGGTCAGCAGTCCCACGGCCACCCAGTGGGGGGCCCCCAGGCTTCTGGCCATCACACTGACCAGAGGGACAGAGATAGTGACTCCACTTGACCCTCAACTCTATATCTACGCAAGGTCCACTTTACTTAGCTTGCGCCCTCAGTCCACCTCTGTGGGCTGCTCCCCCATTCCATTCTGTCCCCACCCACACTGTTCCCGAGACTCGTTCTCTTTACCCCCAAAACCCTCCCGGATGTAGGGCCCCCGGGACACCGATCTAAGCTTTGATCCTCCACTTTACGGACTCTCTGGACCTTCGTCTCTATGACCAATTAGGTGGGGAATAGGCCTGGAAAGGGACTGTAGGAAAACGCAGGGAATTCTCACCGGCTCCGGGATCCTTTCCTTTCCCGGTTTGCTCGGACGTGGCAGTCCCGCCTCTAGCTCCCGCGAGAACAGGAAGTTTCGTTCTATCTCCGCCCCATACCCTTACCAATATGGCGGCACTCCGGTCGCAGAGAAGCCACTGTCCTGGGGCGCCTGCGCGAGAGTGGAGGTTATTTGAGGGGAGGGTGGGCGAGGCCGACTAACAGGCCGGAGGAGACCGCCTCCTCCGTTTCCAAGTAGACGAGGGGGCGGGAACTAGCGCCGAAACTTCCCGTCTGTACAAAGATGGCTGCCACATCGGCGCTGTCATTTGGGTTCAGAGCAGAGCGAAGCGCTTAATTCGACCCGATCCAGGACAGAGTCTTTTTCTTTGGTGCTTCCTCCTGCTCAGCTAGTCCTCCGATCAATCCTCGGGAATCCCCGGTACCTTTTTGGTATCCCTACACTTAGTCTGGGATCATGTCTTGGGCCGCTCGCCCGCCCTTCCTCCCCCAGCGGCATGCCGCAGGGCAGTGTGGGCCAGTGGGGGTGCGAAAAGAAATGCATTGTGGGGTCGCGTCCCGGTGGCGGCGGCGACGGCCCTGGCTGGATCCCGTAGCGGCGGCGGCGGCGGCAGCCGGAGAACAACAAACCCTGGAGCCGGAGCCGGGGGAGGCTGGACGGGACGGGATGGGCGACAGCGGGCGGGGTGAGTGTCCTAGCGGACGGACAGGCGAACCAGTGACCGCGTTATCTGCAACCCCTCCCCCCACATCCTCCCCCGGCGTTCTTCTCTAGCGTTCCCGCCCCCTTGTTTGTAAACACGCGTCCCCTCCCTCCCGAGGGCCTTAGCGCCCTCCCCCCCGGGGCGGGGCGGGGAGGGGGAGCTTCCGCCCTCCTAGTCTTGGATGCCCAAGGCCCTGCACACCGGAGGTCCGTGGCGTGGGAAGGACGCAGTTCCCTTTGAGCTTGAGGATGCTGGACGTTTGAAGGCAGATTCTGCGTCCTAGGAGGGGTCTCTTCTTCCTATCTCCTTCCTCTGAACGTTCCGGCTACCGGCCATAAGCTGGGAATGGAGGGGTTGGCTGGTTAACCCCACGTGCCCCCCCCCCCCCCACGAGACAGGTCTGGCTTTGGGTGACCTGGTATTCATGCAAATACATTGCTTGGAATATTCTTCTGAACTGTCCTTTGTTTTGTTAACCCCCTCATCGTAGCACAGGAGTTAAACTGTCGTTTGACAATAGGGTGTCTCTAGACTTGGGGATGGGTGGGATAGGGTGGCGTGGGTAGGGGCGCGGTATGGGATTAGAGAATTAAAGTCTCCATTTGGATGTTCGAAGACTCATTTTCTCTTTTTGTCTCTCCTGTCTTTGTGTGTGTCTGTGCCTGAATGTACCCCTCCTCAGACTCCCGAAGCCCAGACAGCTCCTCCCCAAATCCGCTTCCCCAGGGGGTCCCTCCGCCTTCTCCTCCTGGACCACGCCTACCCCCTTCAGCAGCCCCATCCCTTGGAGGCTCTGGGGCCCCACCCCCACCCCCGATGCCACCACCCCCACTGGGCTCCCCATTCCCGGTCATCAGTTCCTCCATGGGGTCCCCTGGTCTGCCCCCTCCTGCACCCCCAGGATTCTCCGGTCCTGTCAGCAGCCCCCAGGTGAGAGGTGTGACCCACTTAATGCCTCTCCACTTTCATTTTCTTGTTTTCTTTGTAAACCCAGATCCTTGTGTGAACTTCCCCATGGCCCACTGACCTTCCAGTCCTCTAATCCTGGCAGGTCTGTGGTCCTTGTGAGACCCTTTGCCCTTCCTGAGGTGACTGATCTTTCAGTGCATGTGTCCTCCCCAGCTCTGTAAAAGAATCCAATTTCTTGATGTCCTTTTCATCTATCAGTTATTATCTACCATTTTCATCCCATCTTGCCCTTCCAAGACACATGCCCTTCAGGGCCACTGCGTTGCACAATTTCAGGGTGGGGACTGCTTATTCTCTTTTGGGTCGTGCTCCTGCGATGGCCTTTCACACAGACTGTGGTGTAAATAACGCCGTCTGGAATGAGCAATGCAGAGCCCTGCCTAGTGGTAGGGAATGATTTCTATCACCTCTGAGAGATCCTCCTTCCCAACGAGTCTCCCTGTGACTTCCCTATTTCCCCCATCCCAGATTAACTCAACAGTGTCGATCCCTGGGGGTGGGTCTGGCCCCCCTGAAGATGTGAAGCCACCAGTCTTAGGGGTTCGGGGCCTGCACTGTCCACCCCCTCCAGGTGGCCCTGGGGCTGGCAAACGGCTATGTGCAATCTGCGGGGACAGAAGCTCAGGTATGGGGCTCAGAGTATCTGCAGAAAGGAAGAAAGAAAGAGTGTGGGCCATGTACCATCTCATGTGGGATTCCCAGGGGCTCAAAGAGTTGGCTCAGGGCAAGTTAGCTGGGGGAGGCCTGATGAGAGCTAAGGAACCTGAAGCTTAGATGTGGCATGGGATGAGTGGGTGGTCAGAGGGAAAAGGGGGCTAGTAAGGTGTCTGAACAGTGAGGAGAGTGAGACTGGATCATTCCTCAGTTCTTGGTTCCGCATCTCTGTATGTGGTGTACACAGGGAGGACTTAAACTAAGTTTTGCTGGTGGGAGATTGGAGAGAGATTTAATTGTGAGGGGGTCTCCATGCAAGCCTTCTTATTGCTCTTCCGCTCCTCCATAGGCAAACACTATGGGGTTTACAGCTGTGAAGGCTGCAAGGGCTTCTTCAAACGCACTATCCGTAAGGACCTGACCTACTCTTGCCGGGACAACAAAGACTGCACTGTGGACAAGCGCCAGCGGAACCGCTGTCAGTACTGCCGCTATCAGAAGTGCCTGGCCACAGGCATGAAGAGGGAGGGTAAGGACCTGCCCTGCCCAGACTTTCCTATACGTAGGCCCTGCCTCTCCCACCCCACTAGATGGGAGAGGAGGGAGGAGATAGAGGGAAGACTGAAGGAAACCACAGACTATGTACCTTTCAGAAAGGCTGGATTGTTCTCTCTCTCCTCCAGAGGGTGATGTTTGGTTTCTCTCTCCCCTCCTCATCAGCTCTTCTCCATGGTTGCCTGCTCTGTTCCTTGAATTTCTTTCCTAATGATTCTGCCTCTGTGGCCTGCACCTATGACCCCTCCCTAATTTGGTTCTAGGGTAGGATAACTTTTCCTTACCCATGATGGGCTTCTGTCTTCCCTTCTCTAACCTGAGTAGTCCCTCCTCTCTTTGATCCCATGCTCATTCTGTGGTCTCCATCTCCCTGTTATCTGTGTTATTTCCTCTGACCCCTGGGACTCTACCCTCTTAAGTCACATACTTCTCTGAGGATCTCAGGGCTTGCCTTCCCTCTTCTATATCTCCATCTTGTCTTTTTAAGTCTGATTCCTGGAATTCTGAGAGAGACACTTTACAGAGTATCTTGGCCAAATCCCTAATTTTAGAGAAGATGAGCCTGAAGTCTGGCTTTCTCAAGATCATACAACAAAATAGTGGCAGGGCTGGGATCAGAACCCACATCTTCAAAGACACAGGACAGCATGCCTTTTACTGCCTGTTTGTTGACTCAGAAAGCACAAGATTTATGGTCAGGTACACTTGGATTTAAGTGTATGACCTGCCACGTATTGTGTGAACTTAGGCAAGCTATTTAACTTCTTCAAGCTCCGAAGTTTTCATCTTTAACAATGGGAACAAGAACTCACAGGGTCATGATAATGGAGTGAATGTTAAAACGTGCTCGGCATGTCTCTTAGTAAGAGTAGGCCCTCTGTTTAAATGCTAGTTAGCTTCTTGCCTAATTCCTTTACCCTCTACTTTCCTTTTCTTGACTTATCTATCCTTTTATAACCCCTGCTTCTAGACTGCCCCAGTCTACCATTTCTAGTGACTTCCCCAATTCCTAGAAATATTAGGGCTGGCCTGTGGCTCACTTGGGAGAGTGTGGTGCTGATAACATCAAATCAAGGGTTAAGATCCCCTTAGGGCCTGCCCGTGGTTCACTTGAGAGAGCATGGTGCTGACAACACCAAGTCAAGGGTTAAGATCCCCTTACTGGTCATCTTTAAAAAAAAAAAAACGAAATATCTTCCAAGGGCCATGAAACCCTGATAAGGCCCTAAGGATATTTTGGAACACCCTCATGGTTGGCTGCTGACTTTGCATTCTTTCTCTGCCTTCCCCCTCTCCCCTCTGCAGCGGTACAGGAGGAGCGTCAGCGGGGGAAGGACAAGGACGGGGATGGGGATGGGGCTGGGGGAGCCCCCGAGGAGATGCCTGTGGACAGGATCCTGGAGGCAGAGCTTGCTGTGGAGCAGAAGAGTGACCAGGGCGTTGAGGGTCCTGGGGGAACCGGGGGTAGTGGCAGCAGTGTAAGTGATGGGGTCAATCCACTCTCCTTTGTGATAGGCATGGGGGAGAGAATCTAGGACTGTTCTATCTCCCTTTCTCCTACCTTCCCCTGACAACCCTTCTAACACTGCCTGGTACTGGAAGTGCTGCCATACAAGGTCTCTCAAACATCTGATGTGGGTGTGATAGCTCCTTCTGTCCCCACTCCCAAAACAACCCATGGGCAGAACCACAGGCAAGTCCCAGATAAATAATCACAGAAGAGGGCTTGCTGGTTAGCTCAGCTGGTTAGAGCACAGCCTTATAACACCAAGGTCATGGGTTCAGATCCCTGTACTGGCCAACTGCCCCCACCCCCAAAAAATTATTTCAGAAGAGAAGCCCCAAATAAGAATGACAGAAGAGAAGCCTGATTTATAGAGATTGGTTTATATGGGACTTGAAGGAAGACTATATATTAAAGGAAGAGATGTCAGAAGCCTTTTACAAGGGGCTCCCAGTGTACCTTCAAACCTTCCATGTCTCTTACTTCCTCATCCCCTGCAGCCAAATGACCCTGTGACTAACATCTGTCAGGCAGCTGACAAACAGCTATTCACGCTTGTTGAGTGGGCGAAGAGGATCCCACACTTTTCCTCCTTGCCTCTGGATGACCAGGTCATATTACTACGGGCAGGTCAGTGACCTTGGATCTCTTTGACCTCTTGACATTTGACTCCTCTCTGACCTCCTGCCTTTAGTGACCCCAGTGGCCTTGCATACTCAGGGAGCGAAGCTCACTGACCTTGCCATCTCTTTTTTTCTTCTCTTCCCCTCATGTG